TGGGCGAGGGAGGGGGTTGCTGTTGAGGGTGAACATGATGATGATGATCGGGGGGGAGTACGGAGCGCAGAAAGGCGGCGTCGTCGTCTTGCTTCTGGAGAGCCATTTTATCTTCTTCTTCTTCTTCCTCCTCTGGTTGTTGATGATGAGAGAGATGGTTCTGGTTCTGGTGGGGGTGGTCCTGAAACTCCATAGCTCTCTCTAGATAGATAGATAGCTACTCAGTATAAGGGAGCCAGGCAGGGCAGGAAAGAGGGCTAGCAGCTATTAATAATATACGTACAGTATAATAAACACTGTGGAGGCTGAGAAGAGCAAGAAGGACAAACTTGTCATCATTTCATTGGACCCATTCAACATTGGTGGTGGACTGGTTGGTGCTCTCTTGGCTCTGGGGCAAGCGGCGACTTTTGTACTCCATCCCTTTCTCCAACCTCTTCCATTCTTTGTAAAAAGATGGATGGGTATAATTAATATGGTCCCTTTCGCCTCGTCAAGAAAAAGCACTCTCTCATGTGAGAATGAGAGTGAGTAGTTTTCACAGAAAATTACTCACGGGTGACGCGAGTTTTGTTGAAATAACTCTCAGATCCCTCTATTTTCATAAAGACAACAGAGGTCCTTACATTTTGTTGTAATGACTGGAGGGAGACATTTCATCCAATATTTCATCTATAAATGTTAATAAATGCATTTTTTTCTATTCTTTTCTAAATGTTTTAAGGTAATAAATCTTATGTCGCTTCTTTTTTTATTTCTTTGTTTTTCTTTCATTTTGTTACGGAGTACTATTTTTTAAAGTGTTATTTTAGAATTTCTTCTAAAAAATCGTATTAAAAATTCAAAATTGTTTGCATTATATTACAACAAATGAAATAAAAAAATTTTAAAAAAAGAAAAAACAAGGTAATGGCAAAATAGAAAAAAACAGTATTGGAAAAATAGGAAAAAATGCATTTATTAACGTTTATAGATGAAATATTGGATGAAATGTCCCCTTCCCATCATTACAACAAAATGTAAGGACCTTTGCTATCTTCTTGAAAATAGAGGGACCTGGGAGTTATTTCAACAAAACTCGCGTCACCCGCGAGTAATTTTCTGGTAGTTTTCAATATACATATGTCGTCTTTTTGGAACATAAATCTCTTTTTAAATTGTTAAAATCAATAAATCGAAACTAGACCTTTTCAATTCTCGTTTAGCTTAGTCTCGTTCAGACCATTTTATTTCAAGATTCCCAAGTATTTCTAAAGTGAATTCTCAAACTCCACAACAATCTAATAATCTAATGACAACAAATACAAACCCTATAAAAATTGTCACATTAGTCGCATTAAAACTGTGACATTAAAATTATCTTGATAGTTATAGATACTATTTTTTCGAATAGGACATAAGTTTCTAGATGTGGTGTTGTGCACTTGTGCATGGGTCATATCATAAGGCTTCCATATGCTTAGAGAAGATTCGACTAGACATGATTGTTGGAGCAAACCAAAACAACATTTATTCTAAAGTAAAAAACATTCTCATGCTGAGCAAAATATTCGAACGTTACCAAATGTTATAAAAATGAGAATCCAAAAAAAATATTCAAATGTTAACACCTATTGTGTAAAAGTTGTAGTAACTCAATGTAGCATTTGAATACTACCCATCTTTTACTCAATTGTTAGAAGTTACATCTCGCTCTACGCCAACCAAATTGTCTCCTGAACTTCGTTAGAGGTTCCCGTCCATTCGACTCTATCGGATTATTGCACCAGGACATTCATTAAAAAATTTATAATATCAATGTATATTCCACCCCCACGAATTCGATATACTCCGCTCTCTCAAATTGTTTACAACATTTAGAAGAACGCAAATAATATTATCTCTTTTAAAATTATTTTATTTACAAATTGATAAAAAAATGAAAATTACACCGTTTATATCAAAAATTTTACGAAAGTGAATGCGACAATAATATTTTATTTTATCAAATGATCATCCAAAACAAATAAACAAACAAAAATTACCGAGACCGCGAAATAATAACTGTGATATTCTTTTTGGGACAGATGAAGTAATTATTTATTAAAATCTTCATTAATCATAAATAAATTCACCGAACATACTCCATTTAAAATTGTAAAGTTAGGAATTATGCGGAGGAAAGCAAAAATAATAATGCCTGAATAAAACATTTAAAATATAGAAACAAATACACCAATCTTAGAAATCTAAAAAGGCGACATTTTTTAAAAGAAAAATAGGCCTATTTTTTGGACGGTGTTAATAAGCGAGACGGAGTAAAATTTAGATCTCCAAAGAAAAATAGAAAAAGGTCAAAATACGGCCGGCGTCGATGCCTAATTAGCGGTTCCTGTATTGCCAATTACTGTCGTCGGCGACTCGCCGTCGAATTCATGTTGTTGTTCTTCTTCTTCGATAGAAAAGACCATAGATTTGTGTCTCTTCCGCGCGATTGAGGCGGTGGCAGAGCAGCGCGGAGAAGGCGATCGGGAGGAGGCCACAGCCAAAGCCAGACAGCCCTCGCTCCAGGAGCGCCGGATGGGGTAAGACACGTGGGACGGCGAATGGGAGCAACGGCGGCCTCCGCCGCCGCGCGATTTGTGCAGGGCGCAGCCGCAGTTCTTGTGATAGGGGCGGCGTTGGATGTCGGAGTCGTGGCCGGAGATGCTCCCCTCGAATACGCCGCGCAGTAGCCCGTCGCCCGCTGCCCCGGCGGCCATCCCGCCGCTTCGATGATTCAATCGGCGGCCGGGCAAGCTGCACGAGATGATGATGAATTTGCTTTGGAAATTAATCAGAAAATGATTCTGCTTTAAATAATCAATTGCTGCGCGCAGAAGAAGGGGGGGGGGAAGTTCGTTGGGAGAAATTTAGAAAATTAATGAAGATGGAAATGGCGTTATAATTAGGGGTGTACAAAATCCGGGTCGGACCGGAAAACTGGATCGGACCGGACCGGACCGGAAAAACCGGTTTCGGGCTAGCCCGGTAAAATTCTGGACCGGTCTCCGGTCTAAAGATTTTGGACCGGTAAAATTCCGGTCCAAGACCGGATCGTTTCCGGGTCGGACCGATAAGACCGGATTGTCTATTTTTTAAAAAAAATCAATACCTATGATACGGAGTTTACGTATAATTATAAATACAATTGTATATTTTCATTTGTTCTTCTTACTTTAATATGAAGTATAATTTTTTAAATGTAATTTGTATTTTTTAATTCATTTCATTGACCTTTACCCAAGAATATCCATAATTATAAAAAAAACTAAAATTATTTCCCAAAAATTGAAGTAGAATCGTTCGATTTAAAGTATTAAATACTTTGACGTATAAATTAGACTGGTTAAAACCAAAGTAATTTAAAGAAAAACTTTATACTCGTAATTTCAAAACTAACGGAAGTATAAAAATCATTTTACACCTATTATATTGTTGATAAAAATTAAAAATATTTTATATTAATATAATTTCTTGAAATGCACCCAATTTATATAAAAATTAAATGTAGGGTTGAAATCAATTCAAATCAAGCTACAAATTTGAAAAACAAGTTTAAAAAATAGACATAAAGAAATAGAAAAAATAAATTCCGGTTTTTACCCGGACCAGACCGGAAAAAACTGGTCCGGACCGGAATCTAACCGGTCTAGTTTTCGGTCCTATGCTTCAGGGGATTCGGGTTTCTGGTTTTTCCGGTTCCGGTCCGGTTCTTGACCGGTGTACACCCCTAGTTATAATTCAATACTCCGTAATAAGGTATTGGGCCCATTGGCCAATACAAAGGTGGTGGTGATGCGAGTGAAAAATATTTAAAGCAGCACGGTTCCTTTAATTCAAAGTGGTGATGCGAGTGAAAATATTTCTAAGTTCGAATTTAAATCGTCTCAGTTTACAATATTTGATTAAAGTTATTTTCAGAACGTTTTAAATTAAAAACTACATCAAAAAATCTACAAATTTAATAGTGACGTGTCTATATTATTTTATCAAATGACTAATGAAAATAAAAAACTAAAGTTTGATCGATAAAATTTGCATATTTACTATTCACATGGTCAATTTTTTATTCATTTTCTTTTTTATTCTCGTTATTAAATTGCATGTTTACTCATTTGGTAAAATAATATATTCATGTCACCTCTTGTCTTGCAAAACTTTACATGTTTTTTAACATGTAAATGTTACAGAGTATTTTTAAATTCCATCTCAATTCTCAAATGAACTGTCTAGAAAATAATTTCAATGAAACATCATAAACCAAAAAAGACAATTTAATTGAAAAGGAAAGAGTACAATGTTTAAATATACTACTCCGGGTATAATTTTCTATCTTCTCCATTTTTCATCCCCCATCTTCATGAAGAATTTTAGTATTTGAGTTGTATTATTATTATTATTATTATTATTACAACCAAGCACAAATTCATTAATCAAAAGATCAAAGTATACAGATCACAAGCAACACCAGGGAATTCTACAAGGGCAGCTACATAGACAGTAACTACACGGCTATACATACATTCATTCATACATACATACATGATCACAATCTTCTTAGCCACAACAGGCACACAACATTGCTGCAATAAACCTTGCCCTTTTCCACTTTCACATCTTTCAAGTTGTAACTTATTTTGCCCATAAAGATTATAATGTATAGCTCTTTTGCATAATGGCACCCACAAAAAAGGTGATCAATACTCTCTTCTCCTTTTGTACACAGGAGTTATCAATGTCAAAAAATTTACTTAAGATTCTTCCTTTCCAAATTAGTCGATGCCAGAGGATCCCACGTAGGCTTCGGCCCCTCACCAATCAACATTTTAGGCATATTCTCAAACAAGACTTTGGTCTGTAACAGCTTTTCAAATAGAAACAAGCTTTTTTTTTTAAGTTTGGTAGTGCTAGATGTCTGCATGCTTAATGTATCTGTTGTGGATCTAAGAGGTGGTTTTTTCTTGGCTATATTTGATTGCTATATACCATGAGGTGGTCCAGGCAAGTTTCCAACGCTATCACGAAACCAAATATAAGTTTGCACAACCACATTGTCACTTCGAAGGTTTCGGCTCCGAAGCCGATGAAGAGCGACACACTTTCTCATATGATTCTGACGAGAAATGTCTTTTCATTTCTATTTCTGGCATGCCCAAACACTTTTCTAAAGACCTGAGTTTCTCTTGAGCCTCTCCATACCTTCTTAGTGTATATTTTCAAGATGCTAAGAGAAATGTTTTGGGTGTTGAGGCCCTTACCTCTTCCTTTTTTGAATACTTTTCAAAAAAAGTCAACCAAGTCTAACAACATTCACTCATTGGTTTCACAATTCCGAGAAGATCTACGTATTTTCATAAGATCTTCTTCTTCATTGAATTTGATATCTTAGCTTTACATTATTTAAATGTATTTTATATTTATTCTTTAGGCAAATCTCCTATAGTCTCTGCTTTTTATACTCACAAAGCATCACGCATTCAAACCTCCGGGATGGCATCTTCATCACGCCCTCTAACATGGCAAAGTTCGGAAACTTCTTAACTGCTTCAAACAAAAGCTCAATTCTAGAAATGTTCCAACGAGATTTTCAAGAGTTAGCCGAACTCATAGTAGAGGTCTTGGAGATGTCGGGACACCCAGTGAGGTGGGCGACTGTGGAGACCTTTTAAAATTTATAGCTGCGCTTCAAGGAACCTGTGTTGCAAGGTACTGTCTCACTTTCATTTTACTGTATTGCAAGGTATTGTCTCACTATCAGCGTCATCGTGTCGTCGTCGTTATTCGTGTACGATGAATGCTAACAATACCATACCGACAATGACATGAATGCCCTTTTCATGGGCGTTGCTCGAGAAGGTTGGATTGTTGTCGTTGATGTATGAAAACACAACGTCGCAGGTAAACTTGTCATTGGATTCCGGGTTCCATGCCGGAAACCTCAGCGGCAAAATGTGGTTGTATAGGCTGCGTTGTGTCATCTTCCTAGCTAGGTTGATGGCGCTGGTAACCATCCTCATAGCCTCTGTAAAGGAGAAAAGATAAAGTGATAAGCATGAACCTATTAAACTGCAGGCAGCAGCAAACATAAAAGGAGATCAGAGTGATCTATGATTAAACCGATGAGCATGAACCTATGGAAGCAAACACATGCACGCTTGATAAGAAAGTGAGACATGTGTTTGCTTCCATAGGTTCATGCTCATCGGTTTAATCATATATCACTCTGATCTCCTGTTATGTTTGTTGCTCCCTGCAGTTTAATAGGTTCATGCTTATGACTTTATCTTTCCTTACAGAGGCCATGAGGATGATTACCGGCGCCATCAACCTAGCTAGGAAGACGATACAACACAGCCTATACAACCACATTTTGCCGCTGAGGATTCCGGCATGGAACCCGGAATCCAACGACAAGTTTACCTGCGACGTTGTGTTCTCATACAACAACGACAACAATCCAACCTTCTCGAGCAACGCCCATGAAAAGGGCATTCATGTCATTGTCGGTATGGTATTGTTAGCATTCATCATTATCGTACACGAATAACGACAACCGCACGATGACAATGACGCTAATAGTGAGACAGTACCTTGCAACACAGTAAAATGAAAGTGAGACAATACCTTGCAACACAGGTTCCTTGAAGCGCAGCTATAAATTTTAAAAGGTCTCCACAGTCGCCCACCCCACTAGGTGTCCCGACATCTCAAGGACCTCTACTATGAGTCCGGCTAACTCTTGAAAATCTCGTTGGATCATTTCTAGGATTGAACTTTTGTTTGAAACAGTTAAGAAGTTTCCGAACTTTGCCATGTTGGTGAACGTGATGAAAATGTCATCCTAGAGGTTTGAATGCGTGATGCTTTGTGAGTATAAAAAGCAGAGACTATGGGAGATTTGCCTAAAGAATTAAAATAAAATACATTTAAATAATGTAAAGCTAAGATATCAAATCAAATTCAATAGAGAAGAGAAGAAGAAGATCTTATGAGAGTAAGTAGATCTTCTCGGAATTGTGAAAACCAATGAGTGAATGTTGTTGGACTTGGTTGACTTTTTTGAAAAGTATTCAAAAAAGGAAGAGGTAAGAGCCTCAACACCCAAAACATTTCTCTTAGCATATTGAAAATATACACTAAGAAGGTATGGAGAGGCTCAAGAGAAACTCGGGTCTTAAGAAAAGTGTTTGGGTATGCTAAAAATAGAAATGAAAAGACATTTCTCGTCAGAATCATGTGAGAAAGTGTACCGCTCTTCATCGGCTTCGGAGCCGAAACCTTCGAAGTGACAATGTGGTTGTACAAACTTATACTCCCTCCGCGCCGGAGTATTCGTCCAGTTTTGACTTTTGGAACTGTTAATCTAAGCACTTTGACTCATCAAATTCTCTCAATGTGTAAGCCTAAATATAGTCATGTGATCTTGTTTGATTTGTCTTAACATATAGATTATTAATATATAATTTCTATAATTTTTTAATATACAAATTACAAGATAAAATGGATTAAAGAAGTGTATTGAATGGTGTGTAAAAATGAAAATGGACAAATACTCTGGGACGGAGGTAGTATTTGGTTTCGTGATAGCGTTGGAAACATGCCTGGACCACCTCATGGTATATAGCATGCACAATCAAATATAGCCAAGCCAAAACCACCTCTTAGATCCACAGCAAATACATTAAGCATGCAGACATCTAGCATTACCAAACTAAAAAAAGAAGCTTGTTTCTATTTGAAAAGGCTGTTACAGACCAAAGTCCTGTTTGAAAATATGCCTAAGGGGGATGTGTGCAGTGTTAGTGATGGATACAAAATGTTGATTGGTGAGGGGCCGAAGCCTACATGGGATCTCTGGCATCGATACATGCATTAGTGATTATCGATATACGATCTCGTATAGTGTGCAGCGTACCAATAACAACACAGCATCAACCAATAACAATTCTCATAGCAACAAACACCAAAAGGTTCATATATATGTTCTAAACATTATCAAGCACCTTAACTCGACAATCAATGCCTAAATCATGCATACTACCCCTTTCCGATTCAATGACAACAATGCCCGAAACATCACTGGTACTGTTGGACTTTGCCCGTAAAAACTAAGTCCATCGGAGTTGACTCGTAGTTTCTTAATACACTACGGCTTCCCAGAACCGTTCATCACAGTTAGGACGTCGCTGGTCTTCACCCCCACACCAGGAGGTCGCCGGAATAAGGAGCCACATCGGGTCTGCTCGTCGCCCTAGCTGAAGGAATTGGCCAGAGCAGAGAGAGGATCAATCGTTTACTGATTGAATATAATTTTAAAACTTTTTTCATTAATATTGAATATAATTTTTTTAATTATAAATCAAAGTTTACTATATTTGATAAAAAAAATCAAAAATAGACAAATATTCAGTGAGAGAATTATTAAATAAAAGCAAGCCCAGGCATTAAGAGCCAACAAAATCGACCGGCCCAACATTTTTTAATGGCCCAGAATGAAAAAATATAAAAGCCCTAATTTCCTAACCCTAACTCTTCTTCCCGTCTTCACATCTGTGTCGCCGCTCTCCACCATCTCTCTGAACTCTAATTTCTGTCTTCATCTATCTGTCGCCACTTTCCTACCAACTCTCTCTCATATATTCACCAAAAAACCATTTTGTTCTTGGCGATGCAGACATGGATTCATTTCCAATTGTGTTTTGTTCAACCTCGAATTTTTGGATTGTTTTTGGCACAGGTTTGATTTAATCTTGTTTTAATTAAAACGAATATAGTTTTAAACTGTGTGATATTTATTGTTTTTTGTTCTTCGCATACATATATCTTCCGATTTACATCATGAGATCTATATATTCTTTAGATGTATAGAGCTTTAAGTATTTATTTATTAGATCTTTAAACATACATACATACATACATACATATATATATATATATATATATATATATATATATTATATTCATTATATATAAATGAGGATGTCTAAATTATTAATTCATTTTATATCCATATAAATGAGAATTGTTTGGGGATGCGATTCATTGAGAACCCCCATATGTGTGTTTTCCCCTGGCCTTTTTGAAATGGAAGACAGTAACTTTTTATTCCCATGGAAGACAGTACCTATTTATTTCCATTTACAGAATGTATTCTTTTCTTATGTCAGTAACTTTTATTTAATTTATTATGATTTAAATTATAAAGAGGATCTTGTATGCACATTGTTATTATGAATAATGTATAAGAGGATACAGTTTCATGAGTAATAAATTTTTCATTATTTATGTGACAATTTTTTACAAAACCAAAGTTCTTTTTTTTACTTCCTAAAATATATATCTAAAAAATTTCTCATTTTTTCGTGTGCTGAACAGTTTATTTTTACAATATAATTTTATTTTCAATTTTAAAGAAATATGTCTGGAATTAATGTGATTCTCGGGTAATAAAAGTAATTTTAAATTTATACACACATAATGTTAGACTATTCATCTTCATATTCAAATATAATAATCCTGAATTACATATCTTTTAGACAAATAATTCAAAACAACATTTATATGTGACAGTTTTTTACAGCACCAAGGATCCTTTTTTTACTTTCCAAAAACTATGTCTATGTGTGTGTCTGAATGCAAGGTTGGTTAAGATGATATGGAAGGACTGAAAACTGGTTTTGGACAATTTTGGCTTTTAAGGTTTGAGGCATGGAAGAAAATGAGCGTAACTTGGCGTGGCGCAACGGGATTAATCACCGTTGTAGCAGCCATGGCGATATCGTTTCTTACATTGCCGTAATGTTTGTGGGTGTGTATGAATATATGGCTATGATGATATAATGTTTGATATGAAATCCATTTAATGTGATTATTAAGCTTTCCGTAATGTTTGAATCATCCAAGAAACGTAACGTATCTTGGCGTAACGGGATTAACCGTTTTTGCAGTCACAGCGATTTCATTTCTTATATGACTCAAGTATAAAAACGGGTTTCAAAATCTGAGCCTCTATTTAAAAATACATATATGCAATCAAAACCGCAAAGTACATGTATGCATTCAAAATTGCATTGCTGGATACACACCATATACATCTTACATATGCATATGTGTGCCCATGTGTGTATTTTTGTGGATGTGATGATATTGATAGACCCCGGTTTATGCTAGTGGTTTTTAGGATTTTAATGTTTGAGGCATTGAAGTAAAAGAATGTATCTTGGCGGGGCTTAACGGCGAATATCATCGTTGCTGCAGCCATGGCGAATACATTTACTCTGTATCTTTTGGCTTCAAACTTAAAATCAGAAATAAAAATATGAGCCTCTATATGTGTGTGTGTGTGTGTGTGTATCTACACACATGGAAGGATGGAGGAAAAAATTTAGTAGTAGGGGTTTTTGGAAAATGATGTATTGAGAGATTGAATGTTGATGTATTTATAATAATAACCGAAGCTCTGAAATGTGAAATAGGGTTTATTAGAGTGACATGGGCCAAATTTGGGTTGAAATTGGGCCGAACTTGTGGCCTTTGCAAAGTCATTATCTGTGGATCACCCATGTGAAAAATCTGAAGATTCAAAATGGAGTAGTGGTAGCTCTTTTTTATAGTATATTTGTGGACTACCTGGCTTGGTTTTATACGGTAGATGAGAATTGTGAATTGTATACTCAGTATTATTTTTATTTTTTGTCCACAAGTGATTGTAAATGTTTTTGGACTGAGATTTTTTGTGCAACTGCCATGTGTACCAATTTATTAATAATAGCCATTGGATGAAGAAATCTGGCGGGAAAATTGGGAATTGCAATTGGATCTAATTTCTCATGAGCTTTTATATATATAGTAGATTTGTTTTTTAAGGTCAATATTTTTTTGAGAATTCTTTAAATCATATGCACAGCCCTTTTAATCCAACAATATATCGATATGTTATTTAATAGTCATTTTTTTAAGAAAAAATAAATGAACTTGTGCGTTTCAAAGGTTAAGGTGTGTGTGTGTCTACACACACACACATTTGGAGGAACAAAGTAGTGTCCAAAGTTTGCTTGAAAGAGGAGCCTTCTAGGTGCATACTCCTCAATTTTCCGTGTAAAGGTAATGTTGATTCACACACATCTTAGCATTTTAATTTCTTGAACACCTTTTCTGTGTTTTAGAAATTTGCAAGCTTAGTTTTTTTTGGTCAGTTTTAAATTTCGAAGTTTTATATTTGAAATTCATTTAAGCAATTATGCTGGATTCTTATTTGGAGTAGACTAATTGGAAAAAAAAACTTAATTTGAGTCTGATTTTTTAATCAAACAATATATATATTTTTTATTGATTTGAGGACTCTTAAAATCTTTTGTAGAGCACTTATTCATATTGAGTTGAACCAAATATTACTGCATTTTCAAAGGACTTTTTTCAAACCATTCGTTTACAGTTTAAGATGTCCCTTCTCTTATTACTTGTAAAATTACTTAGACTGCTGTTGGTTATTTATTAAATGTTTACTTAAGTAGTAAACTGTTTGAATAGCAATATTAATATGTGATCTGCACATGTATATTTATGAACTGGACTCAATGCATGGAGAGCGAGAAGAACAAAATAGGGTGAAGGGAGAACTTCGTTTGTCCCAAAACCAAATGTATAGATTCACTTTATGGAGTTTATGAAAAGCTCTAAAAGATACATAATGCACATCAATAACAACAAATCTGGTATGATCTTAGGCTGCGTTCCGTTGGCATGTTATCTGATTTTTGAAGATAAGCAGAAAAAATAAGTTGAATGGAGCATTGCCTGGAGAGGAAAGAGTTTGTTTTCAAGAGAAACCAGTCTAAAAAAACAGAAGAAACTTAAGAAAGATAAAAAGGAAGTAGAAAAGAAAAAGAGAGGTACAAAAAAGGAGGAAGCACACACTGAACTACAACAACTAGGCCAACTAGTCCTACACAAGGATTGACCATATGAGTTTGAGTATAGCTGAGGAGAAATAAATAATGTGAGGTGCATATTTTTTGCTTTGTAAAAAAAAGGAAGTGCATTTTATTGCATGATCTCCCAGAATGTGTATATTTCACATATTCACATTGGGGAAGTATGTCTTCGCTCCACTTTCTTGTATTCAGTTCAACTGTTTGGACTGCATAACATGTTTGATTAAACTATTTGTACTGTTATTGTTGTTGCTTGTGTTAGGGCAGTTGTTGAGAAATTTGAATTTTAGGGTTAGTTTGAGATGGTTTTGTTGAGATGTAAAATTACTCACCGTCGTATTTTTTCCTTTCGTCTTCTTCAAAAGCTGGAGAATATTTAGAAAAGGGGAAAGGTATGTAATTTAAAAAGTTGAGAATATTTTTGAAAAAGAACCCACTGTAGCTCCAACCCTAAAAAATGGAGCTGGAATGCAACCCAAGTCCTTTAAGTCAGTTTGTCTTTCATTGATGTCGACAATGTTGATTCATCCCGATGGCATTTTAGAATACTTCTTGTAATAAATCATAACTCGTTTAATAAAATGTGAAAAGTAAATGACTAGTTTCAGATGCACAAAGAATATTATGTACGGACTATTTCATAAGAAATTGTTTTTCTTGTTGTTGTTGTTTTTATGTGTCAGATTTCTCAATGGCATTGTCCTCAGTTTTGCGCGGCATATTTGGGGGATGTTTGAGACCGACATTCATCAAACCACATATGTCTCAATTTGGTTCAGTTCGATTTCGTTACACTGTGTCTACCCCAAAGCTCATGGTGTGTGGTGTGCCAAGGGACAGTACAGATGAAGACATCAGGAAAGCATTCGAGCCATTAGGGAATGTTGTTGAGGCTAAAATTGCTGCAGATAGTGTCACTGGAAAGTGCAGGGGGTTCGGGTATATCACTTTTGAAACGGTCGAAGAAGCCAGAAAAGCTCAAATAGCTCGTGCAGGAACGGCTGCTAAGTTCTTGGGTGTTTGGATCCCTTTTTACTCTACTATCAAGCCCATGACCAGGTGGAGGCAGTCAAGTGCAGGCACTGTCCGGGTGGATTGAATTTCTCATTTTCGGCGTATTACTCATATTATTATTATTGCTGTTGTTGTTTGTGACACTTAATTTGTGCTGCTTTCTTTCCAGAAACATGTTTTATCAGCTTATGTGATGCATTTACTTTAAAAATAGTTTCAGTTTGTTGATCTTTATTTAAAAAAAGGGACGTGAAGTTAACATTTATGTATTCCCTAGTTTTTACTAGTAAAGAAAAACATTTAGTTTTTGTTTAATGTCTGTCCTCCCACTCGGACTTAAAGTCCCTGTCAAATCAAATATCAAGATATTGGATTTGTGTTTTGATTCAAATTACGTCTATTTGAATTCGAATTTGTGAATGATTTAAATTTTTTAAAAAATAGTTTGTAAATGGTTCGAAGAAGGTTTGAGGGGAGAAGAACGAGGGAGATGAAGAATAAGCAGGTCGGTCAGGCTGGTGATGGGGGATTAGAACAACAAAAATGCCGAACGTGGATCGAGAACGAAAGCCACATCGGCCTTCACGACACCACACCCATTAGCGTTTATAGGTTTAGAAAGATAGATGGGTGGATGAAGAAGTTAGTGAGTCGGTGACAATCAGAACTAAAAAAAAGTTAAAAAGTAAAATTTTCAAAAGAACCTAAAGCAAATCAGGTTTAGACCTAAACTCTGAAAGCCCCACTAAATATCCATGAAGTAAGGAATCTCCATCGTGATTTAAAATCATTGTCTTAATTTTTATATATGGCTTATAGATGACATGAAAACTCAGCGATTTCGAAGGTTTTTATGAAAGATTAGGATTTTCTGTATATAATTGAATGTTTTTGAGGAGTTATTTAAGACCTTAGTAGAAAAAGGAAGATTAGGGTTACCAGACATGATTCGATTATTTCTTGATATTCATATTCTGTTTCCTCGTCTATTATTAAAGATGTCAACATCAGGAAAGAGTAATCATCGATTAAGGGGCTGTTTGGCAACTTCTGAATGAGTAAGTGCTGAACCAGTAAGAGGTCTGAATCATTAAGTGCTGAACCAGTAAGAGGTCTGAACCATTAAGAGCTAGTATATTGCTTAACTATTCAGAGGCAAATGTCTGATCAATTCAGATAACAGCTCTTAACCATTCAGACTCTGTATAATACTTAACCATTCAGAGGCAAATCTCTTAACCATTCAGACATCTGAACCATTAAGAGTCTNCTGTTTGGCAACTTCTGAATGAGTAAGTGCTGAACCAGTAAGAGGTCTGAATCATTAAGTGCTGAACCAGTAAGAGGTCTGAACCATTAAGAGCTAGTATATTGCTTAACTATTCAGAGGCAAATGTCTGATCAATTCAGATAACAGCTCTTAACCATTCAGACTCTGTATAATACTTAACCATTCAGAGGCAAATCTCTTAACCATTCAGACATCTGAACCATTAAGAGTCTGAAACAAACAGTCTGAACCATTAAGTGCTGAATCATTCAGACATCTGAACCATTAAGGGGCTGAAACAAACAGCCCCTAAATGTTAAACGTTCTGTTGTGAGGCTAGAATCAATGCGAGGGTAAGTGAAGAAAAGTCTCTGCGAGCATAAATGAAATTTTTGAATGAGTTAAGTCACAAAAAAGTAAGAAAAATATAAACAATATTGAAACATATAAGGGCTAACTAGTATGTCGAGCACAAGGGCATTTTGTGTATATAATTTCAATCTTTTTAAGTTAAGTGGAGTTAAGTGATAAGAATTATTAAATTTTGGACACCAATATAGCATCAGAGAAGGTGTTTTTTTTTGGATTAAGCTATTTGTACCCCAATTTGTATACCCCATGTTTACACCTTCATTTTGAGTCAGTACAATGCTAGGATGATAATTCACACAGACACAAAATGTTAGTGCAAATTTTTGTTGACGCACCAGTATTTTGTGTCAATGTGAACCATCAAATGTTAGTGTATATCTTTAGTTTAACTTTGGGGTACACTTTTTGATGTAAGTGTAACATGGCTGGTTTTTTTAATTAACCTAGGATACACTAACACGCAGTACCCATTTGTACAGCAGACTAACACACGCATGCACTAAATGTCTGTGCCTGCACATACATTTTATATATGTGTGTTAGCCTAATATACAAATGGGGTGCCAGTAACATTCCTTTTTTTTTATATTTCAGGGGGAAACTTTTTCCTCGAGGGACATAATGGGCATTCACGTTAATGGTCCGAAAGAGTGCCAAGATTTCGCACCGACGGGGAAGAAAAGAATTGGGTATAAAATGTCTGTGTAATGACTGACTCTTCGTCATCTCTCTCTCACACTCAGCCAGCATCTTCAACAACCCACCACCGCTGTCGCGATCTTACATTCCTGTTTCAGGTAATCCATCAGATCTCTAACTTTCCCTTTCCATCATTCGTTTCTCTCTGGAATACCATTTTCAACTGAAACCCTGCATTGATCTTGATCTGGAATTAGAATACTACGTTTCTGTTTTTTTTTCTTTCAAATATCGGTTGATTGCATTTTCACCTGCATTCGGAATTTCATAAAACGCATGCTTAATTCTTGTTGACATTTTACATTTGGTATTCTTGACCTAGGTCGGCCGGATCCGATCTAAAATGGGGGTTTTGGAGAAATTCAAGATCTGGGGTTTCTTCGTCTGCTTGATATGTGCATCGGGTCATGGGTTTTATCTGCCGGGTAGTTACCCTCACAAATATGGGATCGGAGATTTCTTGAATGTGAAAGTCAATTCACTGACTTCCATTGACACCGAGATTCCATTCACTTACTACAGTCTCCCCTTCTGCAAGCCCCAAGAGGGCATCAAGGACAGTGCTGAAAATCTCGGCGAGCTCCTCATGGGGGATAGGATTGAGAACTCCCCCTATAGGTTTCAGATGTTCACGAATCAAACCGAGATTTTTCTCTGTAAGACTAAGCCACTGTCAGGGCAGGAGTTTAAGCTCTTGAAGAAGAGGATTGATGAGATGTACCAGGTGAACTTGATCCTCGATAACTTGCCTGCCATCCGGTACACTGCAAAGGAAGGGTTTTTCTTGAGGTGGACCGGTTACCCGGTCGGAGTTAAGGTTCAAGAAACGTATTACGTGTTCAACCACTTGAAGTTAACTGTTCTTGTTCACAAGTATGAGGAGACCAATGTGGCGCGTGTGATGGGTACCGGGGACGCGGCTGAGGTGATCCCCACGGTTGGGAAACAAGGGTCCGAGGCGCCAGGGTACATGGTTGTCGGGTTTGAGGTTGTCCCTTGTAGTTTCCAACACAACCAGGAATCGATGAAGAATTTGAAGATGTACGATAAATACCCGTCACCTATCAGGTGTGATCCAAGTAGAGTAGGCATGGCCATCAAAGAGAATGAGCCGGTGGGCTTTTCGTACGAGGTTAACTTTGTCGAGAGCGACATCAAGTGGCCGTCGAGGTGGGATGCATATTTGAAAATGGAGGGTGCAAAGGTGCATTGGTTCTCCATCCTCAACTCCCTAATGGTCATCACCTTCTTGGCGGGAATCGTGCTCGTGATCTTCATGAGGACCGTGCGGCGGGACCTCACGAGGTACGAGGAGCTCGACAAGGAGGCCCAGGCCCAAATGAATGAGGAGTTGTCCGGTTGGAAACTTGTAGTCGCCGATGTTTTCCGGGCACCGAGGAACCCGTCATTGCTTTGCGTGATGGTCGGGGACGGGGTCCAGATCCTAGGAATGGGGCTGGTCACAATTCTCTTTGCAGCCCTTGGGTTCATGTCTCCAGCCTCGCGTGGGACGCTGATCACCGGCATGCTCTTCATCTACATGATTCTTGGTGTTGCCGCCGGGTACGTGGCGGTTCGTCTCTGGAGGACCATCTTCTGTGGTGACCACAGGGGCTGGATTTCGGTCGCTTGGAAAGCCGCGTGTTTTTTCCCGGGAATCTCTCTGCTCATACTCACGACTCTGAATTTCTTGCTGCGGGGCAGCCACAGCACCGGAGCCATCCCCTTCTCCCTATACCTCATCCTGATCTTGCTGTGGTCCTGCATCGCGGTCCCCCTCACCCTTTTCGGAGGGTACCTGGGAGCAAAGGCGCCCCACATTGAGTACCCGGTGCGCACAAACCAGATCCCGCGGGAGATACCCGCCCAGAAGTACCCTTCGTGGCTGCTGGTCCTTGGGGCAGGTACCCTACCCTTCGGGACACTGTTCATCGAGCTCTTTTTCATCATGTCGAGCCTGTGGATGGGGAGGGTGTACTACGTGTTTGGGTTCCTCCTGATCGTGATGGTCCTTCTGGTGGTGGTGTGCGCTGAGGTGTCGCTCGTCCTGACCTACATGCACCTGTGCGTGGAGGACTGGCAGTGGTGGTGGAAGTCGTTCTTCGCGTCGGGGTCGGTCGCCATATACATATTCCTTTACTCCGTTAACTACCTGATCTTCGACCTGAAGAGCTTGAGCGGGCCCGTCTCGGCCACCCTTTACTTGGGGTACTCCCTTTTCATGGTTGTGGCGATCATGCTCGCGACCGGGACAGTTGGCTTCCTGTCGTCCTTCTGGTTTGTGCATTACTTGTTCTCTTCTGTGAAGCTGGACTGAGAGAATCAATGAAGGATATCCCTTTTTTCCCCTCTATATAATATAGGAGCACGGCATGAGAGAAATATGCAACGACACAATACATCATCATCATCATCATCATCATTGTTGATGATGATGGATACATATACAGTGCTTGAGTAGTAGTGGTTTTTGTTCCCGGGAGATGTTTGTTGAGAATAAACGTTTTTAAGTACGTATGTTTCTTGTCCAATTAGTTTTTTTTTTCTTTTACGTAGACGCAAGCTTATTGTGTTTGTTTAAAGGTCACTTTTTCTTTCATTAGAGAGAATATTGGGTTGGAGCTGTTTTTTTGTAGTATTTTGTTTTTTGTTTTGAACTTTTAGGTGTATTGAAGTGAGTGACTCACTCACACAGCGGGTCTGCCACAATGGAGCAATAATACTCCCTCCGAGTTGACTTCACCCTCCGTGTTGACTTCAGACTTATTAAGGAGCACTAAAAAAAAGTGCTACATTTTCAAATAATGTACATACTATAAATTTTGAAATCTTCTTTTCTTATTAAAAGGCAATAAAAAAATTGATCAGTGAAAAGATAAAAAATGGAAAGAATATTTCCAGACCAATCAAAAAGGAAAATGGGAACAACATTTTTGGATGGAAGGAGTAATTCTTTTAAGGTTCATAAAGAATACTCACCCTCTTAATTTACTGATTCACGAGATATTTATTTTAGGTTATATTCAATTCAACTTATATAAAAATTTAATGCAATGTATTCAAAAATCACAAGTAAAATTTGGCCTATTTTTAAGAAAATAAATTGTTGCAACAAAATGTCCTCGCGAGAGCTCTTTCAGACCTAAAAATTTAGGGCACAAATTTTACATTCAAAAGATTGAGTCTTCGAATGGGTTATGCTTGTGATATAGACAAGTCTCTCGTACTTCATGAGGACCCTTGGTAAGACACAAGGCCATTACTTGGCTTAAGGGACCTTAGAGGATCTTTTATTGCTCGTTCCTAATGGTAGATCCGAGTCACTCGTTATCATTTGGCTCGACAATGTATGCCTCCGTTTCATATACTCACCTTGATCTTTACATCGCAAGAAAGAGTAAACTGGTACACAATTGGAGAGTAGAATTGGGAACTTTGCATTTGTTCTTCTAATCTAGGAAGATAGTATAGAACAATATTGAGGAGTATAATTTACATTCATAAGTCATCATACTTGAAGGGCTGGCTGGCCCCCAACATGCCCCCCTCTCTACAAGATTCAAGTAGTAGTAATAATGATAATAATGCAACTTCTGCAGGAAGTTACTCAGATATAGCAGCAGCATGTTGCATTAGCCAAACAAAGAGCTGAGCTTGGAGGCAAGCTTTGCACTCTTGTAGTCCTCTCGAAGCTGAATAAACCTAAAATTCACCGACAAGAATTTAGTCACATCTCTAGAAGCAATGAATTCAAGATTTGATTTATGTTCTAGCCAAATCTCATTTAAATCCATGTTTGAAGTGAACGATTGGCTAGGATTTTAATCAAATGTGAATTCCATTGCTAGATTTGGCAGTTTCTAAAGAATTCACTAGATTCAAAAAAAAAATTGCACAAAGGATTGGACTTTTGTGGTAATGACTAATGAGGACATATGAAGTGTGTGCATTTACAATGCTCAACTGTCCAAAGGGGAAGGCACATAAATGGTGAAAAGAGCAGAGAAATACCTCTGCGCGTCCTTCCTGATACTTGGGGTTCCCTCAACAAGGGAAGAGAGGCTCTCGGGAGCAACAATAAAGACATTTGCCATGCTAGATGCAATAAAATACAATCAGTTAGGGAATTTTTTATACGCGGTTTATAATAAGAAAGGCCTAAGACTTCCAGAGTATTGGCCCAACTCACATGCCCAGCAATTCAAATTTCTCATCAACTGAAGGGGCATTGAAGCTACGGACAAACTCCCCATACTCTGTTATATCACGTTTCAAGCGCAACCCTCCACTGCAAAAAGCCAAACATACTTGGACTAAATTATATATATTTACACTTAAATTCGTTAGCCTCCAAGTGTTCTGCAGTTGCTTTTTAAATGCATGAGTTATCTTATACGCAACTGCTCAATATTATTAGTACATTACTCCCACCGTCTCACAAAAAGATTCCACTTTGATGAATGTAACAGTTTTTATATTAGTAGGCAAGCACTAAAAGCAATGTGATTATTTTTATGGGACAAACAAGTTGAGAAATATGACTCTTTTTATGGGACGGAGGGAGTAATTTGCATGCATTGGAGGATTAATTCCCTTCAAGCATCATCGGATGTTAACATAGACAAGACAGCCAAGAAAGCAAGGTATGATGATTACCTCGGGTTAAAAGTAAACTTCTGCCAGTGATTAAGGAACCCTTTATGGAGGCGATTTCCCTGAAAAGAATTTTGAAATGTGGAAGAAATCAAGAATTAAAAATATGCAAGGAAGAAGACATAGAGTAAAGCTATTTGACTACAACATCACTAAAATAGTAGGTTTCCTTTATTACAACTTTGTCCTTCTTGACAAACAAGTTTTCAATATTAAAAGAGCATGGTTGGCGAGCCAACTCATCTAGATGCTAAATATATATTTTTTTGCAATTTGATCTTTCATTTGGTACAAGATTTCGGTTTCATGTAAAACAGATAGAATTAGGCGAGCTAATCCTCAAACTTCCAATATTGTTGTTATTATTATAATAAGAAGACATGCATGTGTAATATGAAGATAAATAAAGTATAGTCTGGTAGACAGTAATAACATGTAGTTTAATGTAATCAAATATGGAGTATATTTTTGTGTGAAATTTACATTACCATCCATTTGAATACAGTACATTACATTTCGTTGCATCTTAATAAACTATGTATACACGTCCCGGGGCAGTTCATGTGACATTGAGATCAATATCATAGCATGACCAGGGGCTCCTACGGCCGTTCAAAAAATTGATGGTTTCTGCCCCGCTGCACCCCCAGCCCCCCTCATATTGACGATTTGCTACAGTGACCACTGTAGCAAATCAGCGATATGAGGGGGGAAGGGGGGTAGGAACCATAAATTTTTCAAATGGAGCACCACAGGAGCCCCGGCTCATGCTATGACATTGAGGTGCAATGTCACATGGACCGGGGCAATACACGTAAATCATGCATGCTTTATATAAATGCACGAAATGTATAACAAAACATTTTAAGGAAAAAAGGGTGTACCAGCTCACTCAAAAAAGCTTGTTTATTGAGCCCGTCAAGTGCCGTAAATGCAGATTCAAGTACTCGAGACAGGTAAGCAACAACTCTGATCAAGGACAACTTATTTTCAGTTTTTCACTTAAACTATAAACAAAAGGTAGCATATTCTAGATTTGTAAATGGCATTAAAGTTAAAGAAGCACGATGGAGAAGAATACATAAATGAACATATCTACATATGAATACATCTTAGGTTTTCTATGCCAATGTTACACTATACCAGAGTAGGCAATTAGGCATTGTACAACTTAATAAGTTAATGTACGGAGTAATAGTGATACCCTCTTACAATAAATACATCAAACTCAGGATGAAAGTATGATCTCATTATATATTTACTATGCACCTTGTACATGCATTGGTTGGCCTATGATCAGGGGCAATGCCATCATCAGGTGACCGATAATCTGTTGCCTTTTGTTCCGTTGATAGCAGACGCTCAACCTATGCAGTTGGACAAATATATAGACAACATGTTTTTCAAATGGAAAATGAAAAAGGTAATAATAATAATAATAATAATAATAATAATAATAATAATGTGAAGCAATATGAATGAAATACAATTGGGTATATATTAAACGGAAGATAAAGCAGAGAACAGCCGGCTTAAAGTTTAACAGCAGACCTCAGCCATAACAGTTTCAATGCATTGTTGAAGCCCCTTGTAAGCAGCACCCTCTGCACTTGACATGGCTGTTGCCATTTCTTCACAAGAAGCAGCATGTGCACCATCAACAGGTAATAAAAGACGAGATATAGAGTTGGCAAAATACTGCATAAAAAAGTATTTGTTTCAATTGAACAACTATCAAAAGATTCAAAACATGTCCTAACAGCTCCTAGGGAAGACAAATTGGTAATAACAGCAAAAAATAAATCATACTTGTTGCACAATAGCCACACTGCTCCCACAACGTTGGACAGAAACCATGAAAGATTTGAAACTGCTCTCACCAGCAGCAGCAGCAGCTTCTGCCTACAGATCACCAAACAATCACTACATTGCCAGCTTATGGAAAAAATATTGTCCAAATAGGATAGATTTTGTAAGCAATCTTGACTACATTCAAACTGAATAAATGTAGAGGATAAGATTACTTACAGCAGAAGCAGCTGCTGCTGCAACTCTTCTACTAACACTAGTTCCTAACACAAATCTTTCCCGTAAAGCTGCAGCTTCAGTAAGGCCGTCCCTGGTTCTCTCAAGGCCTTCAGTAATATATATACTAACCTGCAAAAGAAGAACAAATCTTCAAGACCAAGTACATAAAAACAAAATGGATACAAAAACTAACAAAATGATATACTCCCTCCATCCCATAATTAACTACATGTTTTCCTCCATATATGAGAGGAAAACAAACTTCATTCTTACATTTTTTCCTTTCCTGGTAAACTTTTTCCATTAAAATATTACGAAGTATATTTTAAATTTCTCTCTCCATTACATCAACTATTTCTTCTGATTTTCTCTCTTACCGCATCTAATACCAATATGATATTATATTTTTAGATTTTCTGATAGGGCCCTCTACGAACATCATGAGCCCAAATGTACTTTTAACAGACCCTATTTCTAATGGGCATCGAACGTGGAAAGTGTATACTCGCTAGAATAGGAAGAATCCATAGAAAACTGCAGAGCTGGCAGACGAGGGAAGAGTTTTGGGTGTTTGTTAAAAAATTTTACGGATTGTTTTCTATTATAAAAAGCACCAAGGTGGAGCTGTGTGACTGTGAGTCTTATATTTTGGGATGGAAGGACAGAGGGCATATTACATTCCCGGTATAATACCTTATGGTCCAATTCCACAAGCTTCAAAAATTCAAATCGAAAGAATTTAAGGAAAGAGTCAAATCCATCAGGCATGACAAGGTGGTGAGTATACTTACTTGGTCCAAAAGGCAAGTGAAAACAGCTCTTACATAAGCAGCAAGCGTTGCAGGCTGAGAGAAGAGTTATCATAAGTAGAAGCACTTGCAAATTCTTAAGGAAAATTAAAGCTGAGAGAAGAGTAATCATAAGTAAAAGCACTCT